AGATCTGAAAAGATGTCAATGGCAATGATGTACAAGTTAGAGGACGCTGAAGGAGACACCTGGAGTACAATGACTCCTGACAAAAGATCACAATATGGATTGAGATCTCATAGTCGAGGTAAGTCGGAGTCACATTCCTGCAAAATATGTAATGCAGTATAACCTACGACTGAAACAGTATCTGGAGTTACTACAAATAGGCAATGACATATATGATAAGATACAGATAGTTAGTTGTTTCACATGTGGTAAAGTGTTAAAGTCTGCATTGCCTGCTGGTGGTTGTTATTGTCTCATGGTGATACTGTGGTTCAGTGTGGTGGATCAGAGCTGCTGCAGTGGGTCTGGGACTCCTGCTGCTGATCCTGATCTTCGGTCTGGTGGCCCACAGTAAGTACAACGCTGCTGAGCTTGTGAGATTTTCATTCTGCATCCAGAACCACACCAGGTCCAAAACTGAAATGATAAAAATCAATCAGTAAAAATGGAAATACAGCAAGTTCTTAACAGTGTTCATCATTTCTATGGGTTTCCATTCGTTCTAAATGAACTTGTTTCAGACGCCAGCTCTATCGGTCAGCGGAAATTACTTCTGGATCACATGGTGCAGCGTGAAAAGCTGATTCAGAACCTCACGACAGACAACAACGCTCTGAGAGATGAGCTGAAGCTGATGAAGATTAATTCCAGCAGACTGACAAAAGAGATGGAGGTCCTGCAGAGCCAATACAACACCACGGCTGCGAGTCGAGATAACTTACAACAGGAGGTCAACAGGTTAAATGCGACAACATGTAAGAAATACAGCTTTCACCAGACACAGAAACTTCTCTGACATGGATTCACTGCTGCAGAAAAACTCATTGTAGAAGACGCAGAAATACATTTGAATACAATCCATGAAAAGGCCACACTAATAACATTCTAAATCATTACTGGTGCAGCACAATTTTACTATATTTTCTGATAATATTTCACATTTTGATATATATTTTATTAACACACGCAGCGTATTTGTCAGTGATGTAAGCATAACACTTGGCTGAATGTAATTTATCCTGAAGTGTCTGTTTAATGTTACATTAATGTACAGAACACATTTGTATAACTTTAAGTAGATGGCACAAAAAGTCTTGGATCAAACAGACCAAAGGTGCAGAAGTGTTCAATTCCATCCAGCTGCAGCACTAATCTGTGGAGAAATCACGAAAACAAGAATCCTAGTGCTATTATGGACCAGCACTAATGAGATCTGTATCGCAGTGCACCTCAGTATTCACTCTATTCTCTTTCTGGACTTTCTGCAGGTAAAGTTTGTCAACAGGGATGGGTGAAGTTCAACAACAAGTGCTACTACGCCTCAAAAAAAGGGCAGAATAAGAACTGGGAGGACAGCAGAGTGGACTGCCTGCGGAAAGGAGCTTCCCTGGTGATGCCAACGACAAGAGCAGAGCTGGACTTTGTGGTCACACTTTACTCCAGAACCTGGATCGGTCTGTCTGACAAGAAGAAAGAGGGCACGTGGCACTGGGTGGATGGAACCGAGCTGCAGACAGCGTTCTGGCAAACCGGAGAGCCAAACAATGATGACAGCAACGAGGACTGCGCGGAAATCTCACGGACAACTGGGGAGTGGAATGATGTGTCTTGTAATACTAGAATACCGTGGATATGTGAGGATTAAGATCCAAGAGTTTGTCGTTTAACAGGAAACACATTTATATTCATACATAGAAGTTCTACGGCTTCCTGAATTTTAACTATAAATAAAGATGATTGGACTCTTTGCACTGCAACCAAAAGTTTTTTTTAGAACTTCTTCTGATGGAAATCTGTACAAAAATAGACAAACTGATAACAATTATTGTGTCTCTTGTAATTTTATATGTTCATAACAAAAAAGCCCTTCAAATGTTTTGCTGCTGATTTGTCCTGATAATTTCTTTTA